TGGATGTTCAAAATCTGAAATAAAAATAGAAAATGTGGGCAACACTGAACAGACTTGGCAGTGTCTATAGAGAAATAGAGTAAGCACCTCAAGTCATTAGCATTTCATTAGTTACTTATGTGCCTTGAGCCTTAAGATTTCTAATGATTTTATCTCCTCACCCGATATGATTTCTCTCCTGAAAACTTATTTTTCTCCCAAAACATATCTGTTCATTAAATTAGAAAAGTAATTTACATAAGGTGAAAACTAAAATCCGATTACTCCAATATTTATGGTCACCACTACATTTACAACTCATTGGATGTCAAAACGCACAGCGTGAGAGGTTTTTTGCAGTTTCTGGTTACTGGGTGAAATATAGTTTCTGGTATTAGACGATAATCTATCCTACCCAAGATTTAACGAGTCCCTCAGCACAGAGTTCTGAAACGTGGAATGTTTGACAATGCCTGTTGCAGAATCCTAAGGATTAGTTTAATTTCTGGAGACTTCAAGAAAATCCAGGGTGGTAGCCAGATACTTTTTGACCCTTGAGATCTTGCTGTACACCCAAGAAATTAACTGCTCTAGATTATAACCTGCGAATAAGAAACCTATCTTGTACTAGCAACATTAAAATATAGACCAAACATGAAAATAACTAATCACCACTAACAAGACCACTAGATGGACTACTGCCCAGTTTAGTAATGTCAGATACAATCTCAATCCAATACCGTGTTAATCAGGTCTATGGTTGTTATACATTTCTTCTACAACTTACAGTATCCAGGCCATACTTTATTACAATTTATTTTGGTGTTTACTATATGTGCAAGTTTTAAAACATTTTAAAACCATTTTAGTTTTAATCAATCTTGTAATTTGATGGAAATCAAGGAGAGTTTTCAATTTACATTATGAAATTATACAGCCTAATTTCCCCAAAACAAGTAATTCAAAGTGATCCTTTCGGTATCAAGCCACAATACACATTTTATTTCTGGAGCTGTTAATCTGGCATCACTACAATCTGGAATTATTTAATGCATTTCTATCCTTTCAAAATGTTCTCGAAAAAAAAATTAAACAAACAGTCAATGATGTGAGCAGGATGCTCTTTAATTACTGAGAAATTGACTGAAAGTATGGAAATGGTATCCAGTTGACATTCTCATAACTAACACAACCTAAGAGGTGATGTTGAAGGACTTTGAGATCAAGTTTAAATGCAATTTGAGCATTTGCATTTCTATGCAATTTGCACTTGCAATATTAGAGACTTGAATTCAATTTTGAATCTAACAATTTCATATCTAACTAGTTTAGAATGTCTACTGCTAAATGGGTTACGGAGACAACAGGTGAAGGATTCATTGCCACAGCTCATTCCCATCCCTCTGCAGCAGGTTTTTCATTCTCTGCATGATGTAACTTTTTTTTGTCCCCACATGGTTTTGCCAGTACACACAACAGCTGAAGAAAATCAAGTCTGTGTATATCTGTGTTGTATTGTTTCTGTGCAATACTGCAATAGGGTCTAGAATTCACAACGTTCTGATCACAAGAGAGAGAGTTATCAATTGAGCCACAAACACACACACTGAAATGGTTTAGGCATTTCTATGATAATAAGTGCACAGAAATATATTTACATCGACAGAATGGTGCTAGTGAAGTTTCTGGGCCTATATCGGTTTGGAAATGTGTTTATCTTGAACCTGTTTGGCTCAGTCAGGACTCAATATTCATTATCTGTTTGAAGGAACATGGTGTTCAAGTCTTTTGTTATGGACTCTTGGAGAATGTACAATTAATCATTTACTACCGTGTGCCTATTATAATTTTGAAACCCATCTGCATTTTCTTTTCATTTTCACCTATTTTCTGACCCAGCTCTTACTGGTTAAGCACTCAAAGAGTTTCTATTGAGATAAATTATGTCGCAGCTTTGCCACTGAAGATTTTTCTTTGCCTCTCAGATCATTCTTTAAAGTATTGTGTGTTCTTATATTCATCCCAGTATATTTGTATTTTATTTCACTTGAGCTGTTTGATAATCCATTTAGTGTCATTTCAATTTTGTCTGAACTTCCTGATTCAAGATGTATATAGTCAGTCATCAGATTTAATAGGATTCCTTTCTGTGAAATTTCACTTATTTTCTCCTAAAGAACTATTGAACAACTCCCCTCAAGTAAATCACTTCATTTGCTCCCTTGTTCTTTTAAATGGCCTTTGATGTTCCCATATCTTAGATTACAAACTTGATCATTCATGCTTACTAGACTTCAAGGTTGCTAAAGATTTCAAAATGCCTGTCTGGGCCATATATGAAATCTAGATCAAGAGGAATACTGCCTGTTGTGGCTTCACTGATACCCTGGACTTTGAAAACAAAAGTTGTGAATTAATTGTGTCAATTCTGACTTTTGGCCAATTCAATTTTCCAATTTATATTTGGTTGATTGAAATAATTCATTAACTACACACTCCTCACAGGCCCCTCCTGTTGTCTCTAAAGCAGTTTGCTTATTTCTCATATTGACCATTCCTCTAGATTAATACTGCTATCAGCATAGTTTGATTATTTCCCATAGTATCCTTAGGCTGTGGGTATTTACACACATATTCTTCAAGCCTGCTGGCTTCTTATCCTAACAGAAGTCTTTTTCCACTTCTTTAGTAATATAAACACTTTTTATTTACATCAATACATTACAGATTACTGGATACAGCTCTGTAAATGTAAAGAGCAAGCCATCTCTCTTTACATACTTCTTTCTAGTCTGATCTCTACCTCTCAAATCTGCTGTCAAACTAACATCATCAGTTATTTCATTTGCAAATTCTCATATACTATATTTCCCAGCGCATGTTTCACTCTTACTTGTTTTACATAAGAATTAAAAGCAATTTATTGGAATTTATGTTGTCGCTGTCAACATCTCTCCTGCATCACCACATTCCCAAAACTAGCATCTCACACGCTGAGATTATCTGGAACTCCGACTGGTTTATCAATCTGGTTCCCAGATTTCCAAATGCGGGTGATAATTCTCCACCACTCTGTATGGTATCCAGTGTAGCATATGTATCTCTGTCCCACATATTGTGACGACTATACTGTCTCACTACTCGGCTTGACCTTCCTGTTTCTCTTGAATGTTCCTTGAAGGGTTCAGTCTAGATATGATGTCGGTCAATCTGTTCCTCCAATGACTGTTGCTTCTGGTGTTCTGTCTCTTAACCATACTTTCTGACCTGGTTTGAATGTGTACTATACTTTTGCCCCATGTTGAAAAATTATGGTATATCTGCTGCAGTGTTTCTCTTTTTCCTTAACCTCTCACAATGATGTGTAGGGATTGTTTGGCTTGGGATTCCATTTTAAATACTGGCCTAACTAAATCTATTTTCAATTTCCATACTATTAGTAAATTGCTGGTAAATACCCATTATTTGATGGTGTTGCTCAGTAGCCGAGTACTGCTAACTCCTAAATGGGCATTCTTTTGCATCAGTGAATTTACAGTTTCTCCCTTTTTTGAGAATAAAATGGAGAATCTTGTCACCTGGTTGATACCTGCCTTTCAAGTAAACTTTCTGAATTCTTTATTCACAAGCTAAAGGTGTGTTTTTTTGTACCTATTTGTTCTGGGTGTTATGTTGCAAAGATTCATTTTAGTCTAAAGTATATGAGAACTAAATACATCTTCCTTTTAAAAGTTGAATAAATTCATTGCTAGACTTCCCCAAGTTCTCATCAGAAATTAATAAAATGTGTTAACATGCAACTGTCAATGGCAGATAAAATGTTTTATTTCTTTTGAACTACCTGGCCAACATACTTATTATTGGGCTCTTCCTCTGCATTGTGTGTATAAAGACTCGGGAGACTGTCTGCCATCAATCTCTTGACTCATTCACTTCAGTGTTTCCTGTCTATGGTTATACACCAACAGGTTGTCCACAACCTTTAAGTTGTGTTTGTTCACAGTACCTTTTCAATATTTGGTCTGCTGGATGGTATTTCAACTATCCCCATTTTTCATACAACGTTGTCTAACTTTTGTGCACACTCCATCTGATTTTCCTAAATTTCTAAGTCTTTTGTCAGTTGTTGGTAGTACTCTGATAATTGCAGTAGAACAAGGTATTATTTCTTCAATGATTCTATTGTAGGACAAAATATGGCTGAAAGTACAAGAACATCACTTGCGATAAAACCTACTGTGCAAAAACATGCTGAATCGATGAAGTGGCATCTTTGCATGCCAGTTTGGATATGTTTTGTACCACCGAAATGGTACTTCCATTTTTCATCTTGTTGTAAGCATTATAAGTTTTTGAACAGCTCTGGCAATGGCAATATTTCTATTTGCTATCCCAACTGATTCACTCGAGTTCTGAGGAAGGGTCTCAGACCCACAATGTTAACTCTGTTTTCTCCTTCACAGATGCTGCCAGACCTGCTGAGCTTTTCCAGCAACTTTGTTTTTTGTCACTTGATCCACTACTGCCCTTGATAAGTACATCAGCTGTTATTTGTGCCTCACTTGAAACATAGACTATTATATAGTTGTACTTCAATCTAACCTGTAATTAGCACTGTCTTTGCAATCTCCTTTGATCCTAATAATGCTACTAATGACTTATGACCCATCTTGACTTGAAATCTCAGACTGATGAGATAGCCAGAAATCTTTCACATCCTTGTGTGATTACCATTTCTATTGTTGCATATCTGTGTTTAATTTCCACTAGGACACTCAATATAAAATATACATTTTTTGTTACATTAATTTGTACCTGAATAAGACTGCTCCTAATCCTGTAAATGATGCATCTGCAAACATTATGATTTTAGTAAGCTAGAACATCTGGAGAGAGTAGCTTTGTTTAGACTTCCAAAAAAAAAACTGCAATCTGTTTCTGACTCCAGCATAGCCAGCCCATGAAAAGTAATTTGTCATGTAATGAATGTGAACAAAACAAAAAAAAAACTTTCCCAATGGTTCATTATGCTTAATAATGTGCAGTATCATTTACACACTTTAGTGCTGCAAATTCACTTAATGATCCTTATCTTTCTTGGATCCACAGTGATATATTAGGGTCTTGCCTTGCAAGTCTCATAAATGGGATTAATCGTTGAGAATTGCATTTCATGTTGAGTACAAGACCTGTGTAGTGCCTTGAACAATTCCCTGACCTGGTAGTTCTGTTTCTTTATTGTTTGACCATGCAGTAGAGTATCATTCGTGTGACAAATGGTTCCTTGCTTTCTTTCCAGAATTCTTCATAGTTCTCAAAGCTTTCTGATATAGTAGATTCCAAATTGTGGATAGTCAAAGCAATACCACCTGAAATGATGCAAATGAGTGCAGTCAGCAATTTTGGTTCATATGTTTGAGTGATACCCTCAAGCTGTTACTTCCACTGTCGGTAAAGAACATGCCTCTTGGTAATTTGGACACAGACTGCCACTGATTTATGAAATTGAATGGACTTCTTTTCAAAATTCTTTTGTTTTAACCTAGTGAGGTCCTCACACGACCTTAGTTCTCTTGGGACCAGTAATTATTCCTGAGCACTACTTTTCTGGTTTCTGTTACTGCGGATATGACCTCACATTCTATCATGCTGTCTGAGCTTTCACTTTTTCCAATAGACGATGAGAATCTTTCCTTGGAGTGTACAGACAAGTGTACTTTGCATAGTTTTTTGCTGACTAGAGTGATAATCCAATTTTAGCTTGCTTACAGTGCTGAATAAATTTAGAAATTCTCATCAAAAATTCTCTTTCATTCTCCCCCTGAAGCACTATATCTACTTTATCTAAGAGACCTTGCCAAATACAAGCATTTCTCCTTTAATAGTGAAGTGTTCTGATTCTTCAGTATGTCACGTTTCACTGACATCTTGAACTTTGATTGTTTTATGGTAAACTGACCATGCTCCTGAAGACTGGGGCCCTCTCAACCTTAGGAATTTTATGGCTGCAGAGCAAAGATTCACAGATTTAAACCATGGCAGGCTTTCAACCAGTCACCCATGTTGAGTTGAAGTAGAATTAAAACGTTCTTGTACCTCTAAAGTTGATTGGATTAGAATATCTTTTGTCTGTATTTGACTTCACCTAGGAATGCTCTCAACTTTTTTTGTTCTTTATCCATAAATTTCTTGGACTTTTTCTTCACTTGCGATTTCCATTTTTCTGGAAAATTTCCCTTAGGACTTATCCTCTGTTTTTGAGGGGAGGAACATGCTGCTGCTGCTTTGTAGTATTTCTTGAAGTGTCCCAATCACCCACATTGATAGCACTGAGCTCCCCATGATGGATACATGCTGCACTTCTGGCGATTTATTGATCCATATCTTGAGCAACCTACCATAGTCAAAGACATCGATTCTGATCTTCTGGCATTTTGCATGCTTTCAGGATAGTAATTATTCCATCTTGGAGCCTATCCATCTGATAGGGATAAGGATCCCCAGAGTTTCATCAAAGAATAGATTTTGGTGCCTTGATCTCTGCCAGAGTAACATGTTGAATTGATCGTTCCAACATTAGATCCTCCTTTGACTGAAAGTAAGTGGACTGATTTTTATTTAAAATCCCTTACACCAATGACAATGCAATCTCTAATTAACTTATCCTTTAAAACTGCTACAAGCAACATCCTGCCAATCAGTAAAAATCTATTCAAATTGTCAATTGATTTTCTCCGTTGCTGAGATCATTAATTGAATCTCATTTCTTTTACTCAACATATTTTGGGGCTATGGCACATATCTAATTCTTTAATGAATGTCTTATTCTTTTGCACTTGCATCTTTGCTTTGTCCTACAAGAGTCATTATGTTCCTGTTGGAGTGAAAGGCAAGTCTGGTAGAATTAGGGAACAAAGGATGAGAAAAAAATGACAGAGGCTCTGGTCATGAATAAAAAAGCCTCTTAGATATAGACAACTGGGTTCAAGTGAATTTGTTGAACAATGTAAAGGCTGTGGGGCATTTGAAGAGGGAGATCAGGAAGACAAAGAAGGTATGTGAAATAACCATATCTGGCAAGGCTAAGGATAACCCAAAGAGCAAGAGCGAGCGAGCGAGGCCCCTTAAAGATCAAAGGGGCCATCTTTGTGTTGAACCTCAGAGATGGGAGAGATATTAAACGATTATTTTGCATCAGTTTTTACTGTGGAGAAAGAAACAGAGGCTAGGGAACTCAGGGAAATAAGCACTGATATTTTGAAAACAGTTTACATTACAGAAGAGGACGTACTAGAGGTCTTAGAAAACGGAAAGGCGAGTAAATCTCTGATCTAGCGTTTCCCAGGACATTGTGGGAGAAAATTGCAAGTCCCCTTGCAGAGATATTTGTATCATCAATAACAATGGGTGAGGTACCAAGTGACAGGAGAAGCCTGGGAACTCCAGACCCGTGAATCTGACTTCGTTGGTGGCGGAGTTGTTGGAGGGGACTCTAAAAGTTAAGATTTATGCATTTGGGGAGGCAAAGAATGATTAGGGATAGTCAGCATGGATTTGTGCGAGGGAAATTATGTCTTATAAAGTTATACAAAACCCTTTTTAGGCTGCATTTGGAGTATTGTGTGCAGTTTTGGTCACCACATTACCAGAAGGACGTGGAAGCTTTGGAGAGAGTGCGGAGGAGGTTCACCAGGATGTTGCCTGGTCTCGGGGGATTGACTATGAGGAAAAGGTTAAAAAGACTAGGATTGTTATCACTGCGGCTGAGAGGAGACCTGATAGAGGTCTACAAAATTATGAGAGGTATAGATAGTGTGGATAGTCAGAGGCTTTTCCCAGGGTTGAAGTTTCACTTACAAGGGGTACAGGTTCAAGGTGAGAGGGCAAAAGTTTAAGGGAGATGTGTGTGGAAAGGTTTTCATGCAGAGAGTGGTGGGAGCCTGGAATGCACTGCCAGAGGTGATGGTGGAAGCAGGCACGTTGGCAGCATTTGAGAGATGTCTGGATGGGTACATGAATAGGGAGGGAATAAGGGATACAGACCAAATAAGGGCAGAAGGTTTGCTTTTTAGTTTAGTCAGTGCATGATGATCAGCACAGGCTTGAAGGGCCAAAGGGCCTGTTCCTGTACCATACTTTTATTTTGTTCTTTTAAACTTGATTGAGTTCTTTTGAGGAAGTAAGCACGAAGATTGATGAGGGCAGAGTGGTAGACGTTGTTTACTTGGACTTTTGTGAAGCCTTTGACAAGGTTCTGCATGGTAGACTGATCAGTAAAGTTAGATCACATGTGATTCAGGTTCGGCTTGCCAATTGGACGCAAAATTGGCTTAATGGCAGAAGACAAGTGATGGTGGAGGTTTGTTTTTCAGACTGGAGACCTGTTATCAGTGGTGTTCCACAGGGATCAGTGCTGGGTTCACTTATTTGTCATTATAAAAGTGATTTAGCTGAGAATATAGAAGGCATGGTTAGTAAGTTTGCAGATGACACCAAAATTAGTGGAATGGACAGTGAAGAAGGTTATCTAAGATTACAGAGAGATCTTGATCAGTTGGGTCAATAGGCTGAGGAGTGGCAGATGGAGTTTAATTTCGATAAATGTGAGTTATTGCATTTTGGTCAAACAAACAAGGGCAGGACTTCTACAATTAAAAGTAGGGCCTTGGGTAGTATTATAGAACAGACAAACCTAGGGGTTCAGGTGCATAATTCTTTGTAGTGGTTGAGAAGGCATTTATCACGCTTACCTTAATTGCTCAGATGTTTGAGTATAGGAATTGAGGCATCATTGAGGTTGTACAGGACGTTGATAAAGCCTCTTCTGGAATACTGCATCCAGTTCTTGTCACCCTGTTATAGAAAGGATATTAGTAACCTGGAGAGGGTTTAGAAGAGATTTACCAGAATGTTGCTAGGAATAGAGAGTTTGAGTCATAGGGAGAGGGCTGACCATTTTTTTGCTGGAGCGTAGGAATTTGAGGGGTGGCCTTATAAAATCATGAGGGGTATAGATAAGGTAAACAGTAGGTGTCTTTGCTCTAGGGTGGGGACCTTCAAGATTGGGGGTATATTTTTAAGGAGAGAGGAAAAAAAAAGAAGTTTAAAAAAAAACATGAAGGATAACTTTATTTAAAAAGATAGTGGTTCATGTGTAGAATTTCCAAAGGAAGTGGTGGATGTGGGTACAGTTACAACATTTAAAGACATTTGGATAAGTACATGAATAAGAAAGGTTTGGAGGGATATGGGCCAAAGGGAGGCATGTGGGATTATGGTTGGATCAAAAAGGGTCTGTTTCCATGCTGTATGACTCCTAGAACATCATTTGCTGTTGGACCTAGACTTGCTGCTACTGCATCTTTGCACGCAAGCTGGAATACCATTGTGTAACACTAAACTATAAACTTTCCAGAGGTTCTATTTTTGATCTTGCTCTAAGCACTAGGTTAATGCATGGCTCTGATAATAGCAAGGTCTCTATCTACTATTCCAATTGACTACTGTACTGCACTGACCCAGGGGAGTTCTTTGGAACTTTTGGCTTTCTTTACTTGAAGTCTTCATTTGTGCTTTTGCTCTCCAGAGTCTTCCCAATCTGCAGCTTTAGTTTCAAAGTCATCTGAGGTTTATCCCTACCCTTTGGAGCATTTCCACATTTTGTGCCTTGTACTGAAAGTCATCAAGGCTCTGTCCTGACATTCGGGTCTTTCAAATTTTCTGTTGCATCTCATGGAACATGCCAAGTACTGATCCTGTTGCTGGAGATTTCCTTGGCGGCCTCCATGCTTGCAGCAGTTTCACCCTAAAGCATAGTTAGATCATTTTCTTCAATATCTTTGGACAATGGGTGTTTACACATTAGAAGGAGAGCCAGCATCCTCTTAAGAGTAAAGTAAAGATTTTTGCTCTTCCAGTTGTCTAACAGTCCTTATCTACATTGCATGTTATGGAATACAGCTTCCGGGTGAAGAGTCTAAGACCTCACTTGTCACATGACTTGTTCTAGTCTTCTCTGCTTGTCTTCAGTTTTGCTACTTTTGGAGCAACAGCAGTTACATCATCATTGTATGTTTCAATACACCACGCTCAGTGCTGCATTAAGTATTTGCACATTAGGAAGTGGGTTTTAGAGGGCAGCGAGGGAAGGTGTTGGACTTTAAGCAGGTATGCTGGTTCCTCAGCTACAAACTGCCCCAGAACATTTTTCCAGAGACAGTAGGCAGGTGGCAGCAGATAGGTCTCAATTGGTGATTATCTATTATCAGAAGCGGACGAGGGGACCAAGCTTTGGAGGCGCTCTATACCAACCTTATTTCAGTTGCAACCAAAGGCTACTCTCAGAGGGGGTGGCTAGGCTGCTAAACGTCTTTAATCAGGATTTAAAGAAATTGAAAAAAAAAGGAGGATGACTTCATCTTGAACTCCATCTCACTCACCTGCCAGTGGCATCCTGTTGGTGATTACAAGCCAAAAAAGGTGTCCTATTGGCTCTCCAGCTTCAAGAACCCACCTGTTGACCTTAATGAGGCAGCAGGCCCACAATCCTATCAATTGTCCCATTTGGAAGAATTGAGCAGTCACTCTCTCATTTGAACCAACAGCAAATCTGAGATATATCTATCCTATTCATGTGGTGTACAAAAATGCTAACTTCGATTCAAAACAACTTCTTTTATATCCAACATGGTAGCCTTGAAGTTTAGGACAAGGCTACCATAACTTTTTTTCCTGAACACCTGATACTAAAGCATGTTATATTTATTAACATCTTGTTTCCAAAGCAGTATTCTTGCTATATTAAAAATTTTACATTTAGCTCATTAGCATCCAAACTGATATTTTTAAAAGCCAAACTATGGCAGCCTTAAAAGTCAAGTAAATAATTTCCAAGTCTTTTTGAGCATCATAATTGATATATCACAAAGTGTAAAGATTTAAGTAGCAATTATTGCAGTATTAATGCACATTTAGCACCATAATAGCCTTAACATACTTGTGTACTAGATGCTTCAGGAAAAAAAAAAATCCCTAAAATTGAAACATTAGCAAAAAAGTCAACTGAGTTCCACAACAATGCAATTGCAATAGTCAACAATCGACAGGCAGAGGAAACACTGCATTTATATTGCACCTATTGCTTTTACAAGGCACACAATTTAAAATGCATTTCCTTTGAAATGCTCTCACTATTACTGAGCAAAAGCCATTTATTTTTGTATGAATCCCCAGCCAACACAGTCCTCACAAGAAATTACAATATCTGCTTAAATACCATTTCTGTTTGTGCAGGGCTGGCTAAAAGTCATGTCTGGAAAACATTCATTCCAGTACAAACTGTTTATTTCAATGACAATGTTTCAGTGACATTTCAGAGTTAATCACCAACCACTAATTACCAGAACTGGGAATAAATTGATTGCCTTAAGACATTAATTTGAGCATAATCATGAAACAAAACTTAGAAGAAAATAAGATGTTGAGATTCCATAAACATTTCAGGATAACCAAATTCTTAACTGAACTATATAATCTTAAGGCATAAACCCACTGATCAGGCAATATGCATTAATTAGTAGTTTTTAAGAGATTGAGACTGACTGTTGTTGGAAAGCCTTATGCTCTAAGAGGGAAGAAAGTTTGATTACTAAGCTTTAACACCTTGAAATATCCAACATGTAGTTGTAGAGGATGTTGTTCCTTGTTTGTTACAAATGTAGACAGCCAAATTACTGACAGTACAAATGATGTCACCATAAGGCTGGAGCTGACCTTGTTCCATATAAATCCTGACACTCCCAGACCTTGCCATTGAAGGTGTTGATTCAGTCACATGATGGCTGTGTGCTTTGCTCTGCCACTTAAAGAGCTGCCCCGTTAGCAGTGTGATGAAACACAGCTCAGGTGTTTTCCATGCTTTCAGTAAAGAGCCACATTAAAAAGCAGTTCAGATCAAAGAAGTGGAGTTACATTGTTATAGGGCTATCTCCAATTTGAACCTCTTGTGAGGGCAGGTCCCTTCTGAAAGGTCAAGATTGTGAATTGCTCCGGTAATGCAACCAACAAAAGTAATGCCAGCATCAGGGATAGGGCAAATAGCTTCCAGAAAACAGGAAGTCCCTATTCAATTTACACATTTTCTTACCTTGTTTCTCACCAACTTCTTATCTAATTTTCTATTTGTTATCAAGCCATCTTATAACCATTCCTGCAATATTGCCTGCCTGTGCCTCTATTTGACCTAACTGTTAATCACCTGTTGGATGTGATAGGATGAGTATTAATGTGGATCACAGATTGAATGTTGAAGAGGAGGTAGTGTGTGATGTGATTTTACCTGATGCCACAATAATCATCTCCCATGACACAAGAAGCTGGATGTGAATATTGTGGTACTGAAGAATCAAACAGATTGTATTACAGCTAACAATTATACACAGACATTATATTCCTCAAACACAGAGTGTCTGGACATATATTGAGCTAGTAAGATATGCAGAGCTTCAAGTGATCTGTGAGGTAAAATGGAGTCTGAGTTCTCTATAACCTAAGGTTATGTGCTATGGTAACAGGAGGATGTCTATTAAAGTTGTACTAACATACAGATTGTAAGCAATAGCAAAACAGTGTCTGTTAGTTGATGTTGGCAAGAGGTCTGTTCAGAATTCATTGAAGTAAAAGAAGAGATATGCTTCCAGCTCTACTCATGCTGGTTATAGGCAGTTCTTCAATTGGAAGATATCAAATCTAGCAGGGCTCAGACACATAATGTGATGCCATCAATATCTTCAGGGCAAGGTCCAGGAACATCAGTATTTAACAGTCAAGGCTACCTCCAGCATCTTCAGTATCTATATGTGCAGCTAAGTGCCTGTACACAACCTTATCGAATGAGTGATATCCCAGAGAATTATATGTTGGACATTTCAATAAGTTAATAATCAAACCTCCTTGCAACTTAGACCAAATGGTAACTGAGATAGAAGTAGGCTGCCATAAAGAAAATAAACCTACCTTCTGCATTTTAATGCATGAATATAATCTTTGAAAAATGCTTCAGTAAGGCAATAAGTGATGTAAGCCATGCCTAACCACTAACTTTAGTGGTCAGGATAATAAGCATGGGTACAGAATTAACTGTAGTATAGAAATTACTGCTAATAAAACCACTTCTCAAAAGGATTTAAGAAGAATTAAATAGGGAAATCTTCCTTGTCTGAAGTATCATTGAAGTAAACTACTGCAACTGTTTTTGTAAACAGACAATTTTCAAAAGATTCACGAATTATGAGGTCTTATCTATGATGTGAACTTTGACACTGGCAAATTAAAGGAATAATAAAAGAAACATGTGTTTTAGCAGCAATTAGGAACATCAAAGGATACAAAAAAAATGGAAAAGCTTATCTCCACAAACAGTTGGACTAATCACCTATGCTGAATACTAATAAAGTCCATTTTATATACTCCATCGTCACAGGCCTTCAGCTTACTCCAAGTATGTCATTGTGAACTATAGAAGCAAGGAGACAGTTATTGATCCACTGCATTGCTAAGCAGGGCCAGTACATTCATTTCTGTACCTATTGAATACTGACAGGAGTGTGACACAGCGTTTCCCAAATTAGAGAGGAGAGGTTCCTCTTCTGTCACTACCTCTTGGTTCTCCTCACCAGTGTGCTGTTACTCATCACATGCCACCTCCTCAAACTCATCCTTCAACCTGCAGGATGTGTTGTAGCTGCATTTCTGATTGAAATATTGATGATAGGGTTGAACAGCACTGTGAAATACTTTCTTTATTCCAATCCAAAATCAACAAGCTGCTCCATGAAGCCTATGACAACAGGAGATGGGTCTGTGTTAGAACATTGGTTTCAAGATACACCCTCTAGGCTCACAAAATAAAGCATTATGCTATATGCCATTATGGCAATATCATGGACTAGTAATCTCATAACCCCAGTTTATGCTCTGGGGATATGAGTTCAAATCTCACCATAACAGCTGGTGGAATGTAAATTCAATTCACAAAACTCTGGGATATAAAGCTAGTCTTTGTAATAGTAAACATGATAACCATCATCAATTGTTGTAAAACCCATCTGGTTAACTAATGACCTATAGGGAAGATAATCTGCCATCCTACATGTGACTCCAAACCCACAGCAATGTGTTTGACTCTTAATTGCTCTTGGGGCAGCCTGGGATGGGTAACAAATGCCAGCTTAACCAGTGACATCCTGTCCCATGAAAGATTCAAACAAAAAATCTAGAAGCTAAATCTAGTAGCTAGAAAACAGAAATGGAAACAGTAGAGGGGTGCAGTTCACGGGAGACATTACACAGAAAGCAGTGTCTTGAGGCAAAAGGATTTACTTCCATTCTCTCTCCTGTTATGACTGAAATACCTGGCACCTTGTCTACTGCTGCTCAAAGATTCAATGGTGACTCTGAGGAACAGCATCTGTTTCCAACTGAGTGGAGTGTGGAGACAGCTTTGAGTTGGTGCATACCCTGCATGAGTCCTGCGAGGGTGAAACATCGGGACGAGTCAGCTCCTCCTAGGACACATAGCTAAAGATGTCAACTGATTACTGCTGTAAGCTTGATAGACCTGTAACAGACATAAATTCCTTGTTGCAATTTATCATGGTAAAGATGTTTTTATTCGCTTATAGCTGAAATCAAACTAACGTGACTGAATGTTGTACAACGTGTGTCATTGATATTTAATTGTGTAACCAGATAGTAGGGAATATCCTGTCTACCCATCTCTAATGGCCAAGCATGTAGAAACGTCAGTGACTTGTGAGTAGTGAAATGTATGGAGAACCAGCTCAGGACACAGCCAAGAAGAAATTACCTGGCTTAAAAACAAAGGATACTGAAAAAAGTGACAGTATCTGTTCCAATCAGAAGGATTTTGCCGAGTCTAGAATTCTAACATCTCAAGGAAGAAAATAGTCATTTGAATGGAATAGCTTTCTTCCATGTTGGACATTCATGGGTTTAAAGGTGTCTCGGATGATGTTATTGCGTAATTACTTCAATTAGGAGAAACTATTTCCTCTGTAAAGGAATTTCAGGAGTAATATAAAGAAAGCAGGAAAGAACTCAAACAGGGAATTAGGAGAGCAAAAAGGAGCCATGAAATGTCAAAGAACATAGAACATAGAACAGTACAGCACAGTACAGGCCCGACGGCCCACGATGTTGTGCCAACCTATTTTCCGACGCTAAGATCAAACTACCCTGCACACCTTACATTTTACTATCGTCCATGTGACTATCCAAGAGTCACTTAAAGGTCCCTAATGTATTTGACTCCACTACCACCGCTGGCAGCGCATTCCACGCACCCACCACTCTTTGTGTAAAGAACCTACCCCTGACATCTCCCCTATATCTTCCTCCAATCACTTTAAAATTACGCCCCCTTGTAATGGTCATTTCCGCCCTGGGAAAATGTCTCTGGCTATCCACTCTGTGCCTCTCATCATTTTGTACACCTTGATAAAGTCACCTCTCATCCTTCTTCTCTCCAATGAGAAAAGCCTTAACTCCCTCCGCCTTTCCTCGTAAGACCTGCCCTCCAGTCCAGGCAGTATCCTGGTAAATCTCCTTTGCACCCTCTCTAAAGCTTCCACATCCTTCGTTTAATGAGGCGACCAGAACTGAACACAATATTCCAAGTGTGGTCTAACCAGGGTTTATAAAGCTGCAGCAAAACCTCACGGCTCTTAAACTCAATTCCCCTGCTGATGAAAGCCAACACACCATACACCTTCTTAAAAATCCTATCAACTTGGGTAGTAACTTTGAGGGATCTATGGACGTGGACCCCAAGGTCACTCTGTTTCTTCACATTGCCAAGAATCCTGCCATTAACCCTATATTCTGCATTCATATTCGATCTTCCAAAATGAATTACTTCACACTTTTCTGGGTTGAATTCCATCTGTCACTTCTTTGCCCAGCTCTGTATCCTCTCAATGTCCCTTTGGAACCTGTAACAGCCCTCCACACTATCCACAACTCCATCAGCCTTCGTACCGTCGGCAAACTTACTAACCTACCCTTCCACTTCCTCATCAAAGTCATTTATAATGATCACAAAGAACAGAGGTCCCAGAACAGATCCCTGCGGCGCACCACTGGTCACTGTGCTCCGGGCTGAATACTTTCCATCTACTACCATCCTGTGTCTTCTGTTGGACAGCCAATTCTGTATCCAGACAGCCAAATGTCCCGGAATCCCATGCCTCCTTAATTTCAGAACGAGTCTACCATGGGGACCTTTATCAAGTGTCTTGCTAAAATCCATATACACCACATCCACTGCTCTACCTTCATCAATGTGTTCTGTCACATCCTCAAAGAATTCAGTAAGGCTTGTGAGGCATGACCTGCCCCTCACAAAGCCATGCTGACTATTTCTAATCAAACAGTGCTTTTCCAAATAATCATAAATTCTATCTCTAGAATCCTCTCCAATAGTTTGCCCACCACAGAAGTAAGACTGACTGGTCTGTAATTCCCAGGATTATCCCTATTCCCTTTCTTGAACAAGGGAATGACATTTGCCACCCTCCAATCTTCTGGTACTACTCCAGTAGGCAGTGAGGACGCAAAGATCATCGCCAAAGGGGCAGCGAACTCTTTCCTCGCTTCCCATAGTAACCTTGGGTAGACCCCGTCTGGCCCAAAGGACTTATCTGTCTTCATGTTTTTCAAAATTTTTGCACATCCTCCTTCCTAACATCAACCTGTTCGAGCACATCAGCCTGTTTCACGCTGTCCTCACAAACGACAAGGTCGCTCTCACTAGTGAATGTTGAAGCAAAATATTCATTAAGGACCTCCCATACCTCCTCCGTCTCCAGGCACATGTTCCCTCCAAAATCCCTGATCTGCCCTATCCTCAC